TTTATCATCAAAGTTTGTAGACCTTGAGTTCCTGGTTCTTGTTCTTAAAGAACATTAGTCATGTACGCCATGGTCTTACCAAACACAATTACCAAACAGAACGTGCTGCCTCTTTGAAAACTCCTTTCCACGCTGCGTACAGTTTCATTCATCCAAATCTCTGAACCCCCCCCCCCCCAAAGTCCTGAGCCATATAAGAATGCGGTAGTGTACAAACAGAAATACTGCACACTGTCAACTGAGTCCGGTGCTTGCTCTGCGAGATTTGGTTCCACAGCAAACAAGAACGGAGAGGGAGAATGTTCCCATCCCCGGCTGACTTGACTCTAGAATTATCAGAATAACGGGCTTGGGAGCCAGCGATATTGAAGGAATATGATCCACACACATGGGTCTGTGCGTGGCAGACCCACCTCTGGATGATGGCAAGAGACCTAGCCATCGTCAAGATGCTCAGCCTCTGCCCTGAGATAAAGCATACAGATTTGTTCCTGTTTGTTGTCGGACCAGCGGGGTGTTTGTTATTGCCTGCGCCCGTCTTTTTGACTTGACTCTGGCACTGGATATACAAACAATGATGAGTCAGTCGAGTCGTGGAATGGGCATGGGTGAGTTTGACTGGATTGCGAAAGGTAGCCGAGGAGTGTGTAATTATCAACAAGCAGGCTGCTTGAAGCAGCTCACCGTCTCATTAAAGATTGGAATCATAACAACTTGTATAACCAAACTGTACAGGATTGGAATTACCCTGCCACTCAGACTTAAAACTACACAAACATAACATACCACAAAGGGAAATGGACCAGGTGCATAAAAATAATTTAAAAGTTGAACAAAACAATAGCGGGCACGGGGTTTGAACCTGCAACCTCCAGAACACCGCATCGGGCGCTTCTAACTGAGCTATCCAGTCCTGTGTTGGTTGTTGATTCAATTAGTCATCATTTGTTTAGGGGTGCAAGTCGGAGGCCATAAACCTGCCACGTAGCCATGGATTACACCCAAACTCAGGTGTATGTTCTGCCGTCTTAAACATGTATTTTTTGCTTTTTGGTTGATTGAGAGTTTGCTGCTTCTGCTGTTGAGTTGTTTCTGTCAAAAACATGTATACTTTTAATGATAAACCTCTCTGATCCTTCAAAGCCTAAAGAGGTCTTGGTGGATTATCATAGATTTAGGCTAGGTAAACCCAAGCTGTTAAAGACCATCTTGCAGGGGACAGTGAGAGGGGGAAGGAAATGAGGCAGGCAGAAGAAGAAGTGGCAAGATAGCATTCAAGATTGGACAGGCCTGGAGTTTGCCGATACTCAGAGGGCAGTGGAGAACCGAGAAAAGTGGAGAGAGCTGGTTAAAAAGTCATCAGTGGTGACCCAATGACCTCCTCCATAGCAGTTATGGGATAGATAGCTCTAGATAGACAAGCTACACTGTTTCTGTACATGGGACTTGATTCACTTTGTGGATCAATGTGTCATTATAGTTTCTGCACAGTGAATGATTTGGGAGGTTTCAGGAAAGTTCCTAACAAAAATGCTTTGGGAGTTGGAGTCCCGACTTGCCTACATGCCTCAACTTGCTTCTATTTCTAAAAAGGCAAATCTTACCCAAGCATCCTACTTCTGCCACCGCTGTTGCCAGTGGTTCTGTATCAAGTTGTTCATACTGCTTTGTGGAGTTGTCGCTTGTGTCCATCCTGCTTGTCCAGCACCTCACCTCTCTCCACTTGCTCTAAACTTACAGTATCTTTTGCCAAAAAAAGGGCAATTCAAGTTGAATATTTCCGGGTGCCGCATACAAAAAAGGAAAAAAGGATACAACTTATAATTAGACCTGCATTTGTCATAGTGTGCATCACTCATTAAGGGGGAGATAGAGGAGATTGATGAGCTGAATAATCCTTAGCTCTGGTTGACCTTTCTCACACATGGGTAACTTCCTCATATTTCACCAATTAATGGCATACCTTCAAGTCATGCTGATCAGCCAGCCTGCAGCATCAACTGGATCAGAGTGTTCAAAGTAACAGCTTATCTTGTGTCAGTGACATTTGGAATATCAGAGCGTGAAAAGAAGAAGATACTTGAACTTTTACTTTCTACCAAAGCACGTGGTTCAGTCCCCGTTTTATTTGGGTTTTTTTCCATTTCAGCGAGGATTTTCAATGTTATTTCTAAATCGAAAAAAAAAATATGGTGAGTGTGACAGGTGGCAGCATCTAAAGCATCCTGCCGATTTTTGGGCATACCTGATTTAATCAAGGGTTGCAAGGGGGCCATGCTTTTTACCCCCTCCCCAGGCATCTTTAGCATCCCATTTGGAGTGCCCATTTAGCCAGAGGCCCAGCATCCACTGTATTGTGTGCAGGACAAGGCCTTTTGATTAACCATTAAGTCGCCTCTATGGACCGGGGCTGATGCTGAAAAGAAATAAATCAGATTTCACAGATTGAGAAGCCTTAGGCCGGATGTATACTCACAATCAAGCAGCCCTCTCCCTCATTACAGATTGCCTACTACTTACATGGACAGCTTTATTTAGAACAATCCCCAAGCCCACAGGTGAAGCAGGTGCATAATTCACCTGTATAATGATAGGGGGTGGGGGCGGAGATGAAAGGCGGGATGCTGGGTCAGTCCCAATTAGCTTGTAATTTTTATCGCAGAACCTATCCACTGACACTGGGAACAACACGCGCTCCCGCCACAGGTCACAGACTGTATTACGTACAAGGTGTAATTGCGGTAGCTCAATCTAGGGTCAGTCCAATCAGCTTGCCATTTTGGGGTCAGCATGTAGCATACGTAACGGCACGTTCCCCTGCCAGCATTCTCTCCCCCCCCCCCCCCCAACAGTCCGTCTGCCCCGCCATGGGCAAAGAGTTGTTTGAAATCAATACATTGGGGGGAAGTATTTCCATCATAGTATAGCCTCATCACTGACAGTGCACATCATCAGCCCAGTGACCCAGACACATTGGTATTTCTAAGAGAGTGCTAGATCAATAAAATGAAATATCCAGAGAACATGTAGATATTTCCCTGCTGTTTTGAGGGGATAAGTTGGTCAAGGTTGTAAAAACTGCCCCTTTCTTTTTTTACTTTCCCACCCAGCACACTTCTATAGAGACGGTAATACCTTTTTCACAGTGATTTCCTGTAAAACAAGGCCAAGGGTGTTCATTCTTGAAATCAATTAGCTCTGTTTTTCACGCATCCCGGTTTCCTCTCCAGAAATCGATTCACACTGTGGTCTACGTGCTCCCTCCACTCGCAGGTACAGGTGAGCTGTAGTTGATTGCTGATTTCTCAGCTCTGTTTGTTCAGGCTTCCCCATACCATGCCTCATTCATTGTGGGAAGAGGAACCACAGGGAAAAATTGTCTGTGGGCCCTACCAGTGAGATGGTGTCTCAAAGTATCAGACAGGGGAAATTGTGCTTGTAATTGTCACTCCTATTATCATTTTAATTCCTTACTTTGGGGTAAACAAACACATGAAGCTTTTCTTCAAATTAAAAAACAAAATCAGAGGGATAGCTGAAAATGAAGATTCCTTAATATTTTCACTTGTAATCCAAACCTAGAGCTGCATTGTCTTGTCCATCACTTTTCCTGATTAAACACTGATGACTATATAGCCGGTGGGACTTTGCAGTTGTTTGGAGTTCCTGCTGCGTGATTATTTAGGTGAAGTAGCAGCATTTGATATGTTTTTTCCTCTAAGGCAGCATCTGAGCAGAAATAAAAGCCACCAAAGGTTAAGTTATTCAAATTTGTTGCCAGGCAACTACTTTGCACATGGTACCCATCAGCATAGGCCCGCAATGAGAAATCTACACACAGAAATGCCATGGCATCAGTGACGTGATCGCCATGACTGGCTGTCGGGCCCCTACACACTTTGTAGCTTAATATTGTACCAAAAAGAAACAGCTTGGTATCAGGACTCATTAAATACAAGTTTTGGACCATAATGGCTACCAGGCTGCTGATTGACAGATCCAGAGGCTTGGGGACTCTCACTGAGCCTTGGATCAGGTGACAATCAAAGAACAGTCACACCGAAATTCCTGGGCGATAATTGGATCAAATTACTCCTCCACAATGGCTGGATTCATGTGTTTCTCTGATGTTGGGGTTTTGTGCTCTCCTCCACCCCCCCCCCCCCCCCACCTCCGCAGATGCCATGAACTCTTCACCGGTGATCACATGATCAGGAAAATTTACCCAGAGATGACCACCCCTACACTATGCCATTTGTTGTTAATACAAAGGATTTCATGGTTGACACCTGGGTTCATTAACACCACCCAGGCCTTCTGAGTGACAACACACACACGCAGGGCATTCAGAGATCTGATTGCCAATTGGCACGTGTGCTGCACCAGCGGTGACCATAGTGATACCTCCTACTCTGCTCCTGTGGGCCTATAAAAAGATCAGCACATATTACTTTGTCAGTGATAATAGATGATATCTCCTTGACAAGAAACAGGCTGACTCTGTCTAGATAACACAGTGATACATTATCGACAACTGGCACTGTGCTTTTGTGATATTGGCCATGAGGCTGACGATATTGTCATCTGTTCTATAGTTGGGCTTAGAAATACAAGTCCATTTCACCAGCGAAAGTGTAAATTTATCTGTCAGCAGAAATAGACAAAGTGTGAGCTATAGTGACAAGAGAAACAGCAGAGCTTGTTTTACTGCAGTCTCTAGGGCAATAAAGGACACACATGATTTAGCACTGTGTCAGTGATATTTTCCACAAAAGAACTGTGATTCTTTTCACAACTCAGTCCCTATCTGAAATATCTCCAGCCCCTGCTCAGCCAGCTGGAGTGTGAATCACATTGTCAGTGATTTTTACCCTGTTGATAACGAGGACCATACCATACGCAAGAGTGTGCATACTGTTGACTGGGCCCACGCATTGATTAAGTAGTGTTGGCCAATCAGCTGAGCCAGTATGACCAGTCACACTACGGGGACTGCAGTTTGAGTCTCACAGCGAAAGAAGATGTACACGTAGCCAGGGGATCCCGGCACCGGCTTATTTTTTTCATCTCTGCCAATCTGCAAGACATCAACTAGGAGCATTAAGTTTATGGCATTTTCTCCCAACACGCAGAGCATCCATTCAATCTTCCGTGTACTCACAGGAAATCTATCATGAATGAACGAGTTCTTTAAAATAAAAAAAAGAAGGGGAAAAAAAAAAGAGGCTCCTTCACTCCCTGAATCCGGTATTCAGCTGAGAGTGCCTTCAGCCGCCTTTCGTCTATCACGCCTGCTTCATTAATATTTCCTGCCCAGCTTTGAGGAACACCGGCGCTTCTACATCATTGGTTTTAACAACATGAGCTGCGTGTGCGTGTGTGTGTGTATGTGACATGCAAATCAAGTTGGACACTGTGGAGGAGTTGGGGCCCAGATAGATCGACTTGAAGCAGTCAGGAGCTCGGTATTGGGATATTTCTTGTGGAGTGGACGAAGTGCTTGTGTGTTAAGTTTACAAGTATCAGTCAGCAAAGATCTTCACATGGATTTGTACTTGCATCGACATAAATTACTCTTCAGCGCGGGTTTACATGCATACTGAATAGTGCTCAATTGCATTTTCTACCTTCTAGAAACACCTAAATGAAAAAGGCATTGGAGGAAAGAAGCTCATTTTGGATTTATAAGCTTGCTGGACTAAATGTAATCTTTGAAATTTCTGGTGAGTTTCTCCTATCTCTAATTCTATGCAAATTTGTTGTCATAGTATTTTATGTATGCTGTAACTTTTATGTATTTCTATAAGCTCCGCCTTTATTTGCTAAATTTTGGTTACTCAGCTCTGGTTTCTTCTCACATGGCTCAGATTTTTTGGCTGGGCTTGTATCTGCTGTATTGTGCTCTAGTGCTCTGCCTTACGGTCCGTGCTTTGTTGCTGTGCTCCTCACTGCTCTTCTCGATCTCTGCTTGTCTGCTCTAAGCTCAGCTCAGCTCTACTTTGCTATTTTGTAGCTGATCTTGTTTGTTCTCTTTTGACCTGTTCTGCTGTGCTCTAATCTGCTGTGCTCTAATTTGCTGTGCTCTACCCTGTGTTCTTTTCTCCTCTTTTCTCTGCTCTTTGCTCTGTTCTGTCCTGCTCATGTTCACGCTTAACTTTGCTCTGCTGTATAGCATTCTGTTATCTTTTGTTCTGTTCTGTTCTGTTCCGTTCTGTTCTGTTTTCTTTTTCTGTTCTTTTCTATCCTGCTTTGCTCGCCTCGACTCTACTGGTACTGCTTTGTTCTGCTCTATACATGTGCTCAGCTCAGCTCAGCTATGCTATGCTCATGGTTCAGTCAGAGCTCAACTAGTTCTTAACTGCTGAGTTCTCCATCCTTTAAAATCCTATGCTCACATTTTCCAAGGGTTTCATGTTAAATGCTCTTTATGTTCTACTTCATCCCCCCCCCCAGTGAATTTATCAGCTCTTGTGCCAAAGTATACATGTTTTTTACTTTCATGAAAGGGAATATATACAACATTTGCTTTGCTTTAATTTTCAGAAATGGATGGATTTGGAGGTGTGGTATTTTACAGCAAATATGTTTTGTGTTCGTAGATGCTGAAAAAACCTAGAAAAAACAATCATGTTCTTGTGGTCTGGTTCCCTGACCCCACTTATGATGAAACAGAGAAATTTGTAGACCGTCAGGGAATTGTAAGATCAGGGAACCAGTCTAGCTTGCTTGTACCTGTTCATAGGTGTGTAATCGATTGCAAAAAAATGCTGACTAACTAATTATGGTAAATTAGGGCCATCGTTTGAAAAAAGCCAGTTTTTTCCAACGCTGGTCGAAAAATACTACTTTTCTTGAAAATTACAGCACACCAGGTGCCATGAGTTTGCAGGATGCTTTAAACTGTACAAGGTATTTCATATTATAAAGGTATTTCATATTATAATATTTTTTGGTAGTTTTGTTTTTTGATGTTTGCAAATGTTGTAGGCCTATATTCACTTAAGCCTGAGTCATCCAGATTCATTACATCGAACCCATGCAACAACGGATTTTAATGGTGTCTGTATAATGGTCATTATTTTGGATGACTGATTTTGCTAATTAGCTTCTGCGAGGGATACCACAAATGAATCATCAGTTCCCAGATAAGAGGCATATCTAATTACCATACCGGACAGGCTGCCTTCTCATTGGTCCATATGAAGCATCATTACATCATACTAAAGATGCTGTGCACAGGTGTGCATTGGCACTGAAGGTCGTTGACACCACTTTGGGATAAATTGGTCTCATCCTGAAGCCCTAGACTTTTTGCATTTGTCTCTCATCACCCCTGATGGTGACACTATCAGAAAACCCATCACTGTATCTTTCAGCAAGCTCGGAGGAGAAACAAAGCCGCTAATTATATTAAAGCCGTTAATTATATTAATGGGAAGTTACAGCAGCCGATCTAGAAATTGTCTATAGGGGGCAGTCCTCCAGTTGGGCATTAAGAGGTTGTTGAGCCATAACAAGCAATACATATGGGCAATTCCGCCAATGTGGAAATACATGTCAGACACTTTAATGAGCTGCTGTTGGAAAACTGGATGTGATACATCACTAATGTGTGACATCTAATGAGTAGAAAACAACTACAGACCAAACTGAGGTACAATGTACCAACACCTTAAAGACCTTGTACGTGTACATCATGTAGTCGGACGTATGTTGGATTGTACGGAATTGCCCATATCCGCTCCGTTCACAAGTACCCCCTCACCGGCAAAGAAAGTCAGTTGGAGGTGACCGACCGACGCCATCTTGCCTGACTGCAATTTTGCCGCGACGCACGGCCGTACCACTGCGTGTACACACCGTAATACAAATCCCCTGGTGTACGTGCGTCACACACAAGGAAAGAGGTGCACGTCAACCAGCTAAATGTCCTGCCCATGAGACGTCCTTGCTAGGTAAAAGGGCGCCCTCTTTCGTTGGCGCACAGAGCCCATAGGCCGAGGTACATCATCATAATGGACGTGCAGATTGACAGGTACTTTGATGTATAACCATGAGAATATACCTGACTATAGATGTGTGAATTGTTTAACAAGTGACAAGAAGTACTGAATATCAAACCACTGTCTGTGTCATTTAATTAGGTGTGGCATTTTTGATGACCCAAGGAGGTCACTCCCCCCCCCCCCCCCCTTACACTGGGAAGTAGGCCTACCATGTGTTGACTACAAGAGCTTGAGTTCAGTTGCAACATAGTTTACTATGTAACATTTTTGGCTGCGGGTTGCTGAGCATCAAGCTTCTTGCTGATTTACAGATGGAGTGGAAGTACTTTTACCACTGCAGGCCTACACATACGGCACTGTGTCACACTGATTGGCCTACACACAAAAACATGGAGATTTTACAAATAATGCACAAACCCAATTAGTTGTTTGATGAAGCTATCTTTGAATTACATCATGAAGTATTTTAATGTATCTTGTTCTTATTTGCATATTGTGCCTGAAGGCCGATTCATACGTCACGCGAAAGTGAAGCAAATTTTACGACGTCAGCAAAGAAGTTTCTTTTAGTGGCATTTACCGTTTTCCAAATAAACTGGATTGCGTGTGATGTTTCTCTTTAATTCAACTTTCCTTATTACATTTGTTGCAACATTTTCATCAGTGCTGCATGAAAATACTAAATCCTGACTGTTATCTTATGCTTATTGAAAAAAATGCAAAACAAAAAATGAAGAAGGAAAAAAGCTCTTGTCTATTCCCGTAGGATGTCTTCAAGCCATGATTTCATCCGAAGCCCATTATTGGAAATGACACATGTAGTCCACACAACAAAACTCAATTATTGATTCAGGTCGTTAGGCCAGCCACAATCAATGGATCATTTTTCCATTTCCGCTGTCATCCTCTTTAAGATTGCTTGATCCACCGGGAACTGCTTGAATATGGATAATGTGGCTCGCACGTCTCATTTCAAAGTTCTTGTTTTGCTGTTGACAGGTTAAGTGTATTAGCCTACTTGTTCCGGTTTTTCACGTGTCCATTTAAGAAACTGCTTCTGACAGTAGCAATTTGGGAGTGTATTTCGTTCGGGGAGATGACCCCACATTTATTGTATTCCTTGGGAAAGGTTATATTACTCTAGATGCCTTCTATAGGAATCTTCAGTTTTGATTAACCCTACGGAACTCCTTGCCAAGATCTTGCTTTTGCCCATCCTGATAACTTAGCACATTTCAAGTGAAATACATGTACAGATTTCTTCTTGCTCTTTAAGTTGCTTCTTTATTTCTTGCCTGTAGTGACCACACTGAGTTTCCATCAGCCTTGTGGATGGCAAGCATAAAAAAAAATTTAGTGACCGAAATTGCCAGATGTTGCCTGAAATGAACCACTCAGAGGTCACAGATTTCTCCCTTCTCTTTCAACCAGTTAACGTCCTCTGACGTTATAACATGTACTGGCTGTTTTTATACACAGACACAGCTGACGGGTTAAAATGTCAAGATTGCCTCGACTCGCCTCCGGGTGACGTCTAAACACGCTAATCCCTTGTGCCTTTTGTACACACACACAAAGTCCGTGAAGTCTGTGGAGGAGGACTGTGTGTTGATCTTGCAGACCATGTGGATCGTTGTGCACGGTCTTTTGTTCGTCAATTTACGATCCAGTGCACACCTCAGAGTATTAAAAAATATTAGGTTTCGGCAAGAAATATCGTACAAATACTGTTGAAATGATCCTTGCAAATCAGTATTTGTGGCGTTTGGCTGTATATCAGAAGTTGGCTGAAAAATTTTGCCTTTTGCAAAAAGCGAAATTTCAGCAAAAGTATTCCCAGCGCGAAGTGGTTAAGCATCACATTAAAAGTTTAGGCCTTTTAAAATCTGCTTGTGTTTTACATACAGGGGACTATTTTGTAGCACTGCTTTAGAAAGTTGTGCAAAATATAAAGCCTAACTTTTACACACAACTTTTCCACAGGTGAACCCTGCTAACTTACCTAGCCTGTTTAGTACTTAAGAAGTTTAATTCTGTCTTTCACAGTAAGCCTATCACCCCACCAAACAAATAGTGGAAGGCCAAAACGTCTGAAGAATCCTTCCAAAACCACTCAAGAAATCCCCAGAAGTTGGATGTTGAGGTCAATATCCACCAACTGAAATAACTGGATCTTCCCAGCCCAAATGTCCTGAAAGAAATTCAAGTTTGCTCAGAGCCAGGCAATTGTTTGTTCTCACGCAGGATGATTCAACAAAAACAGCACTATAAGGCAACCGCTCTCTCACAAATGTGCACTTATGATCCCTTGAGTAATTTCACTCGGAATACTGATTCAATCCCTTAATAATTGCTGTAATTCCCACAATGACACTATCTCCACTCGAGTTTTTTTTTCCCTCTTAAGTTGTCGGGTTAATGCACACTCACATGCACCTGCAGATTTGTCAAGACATATGCCAAGTAACATCCATAATTCCTCAGTTCGGCTCGAGTGTACATGCGTAAACTGTAAAGGCTAAACTTAAATGCACTTGTTTTTCCGGATGATTATGTGTTTGCGCTGAAGACGAAGGCGTCAGAAATGAAATCTGACAAGATGCAGCCTTCTGCCAAGTATTCCTATGTAATTTACTGTGTTGTTTAAAAGCAGTTTAATTCTGGCCTCATGTCCAAATGGACCTGCGATCATCAGGGCGCTATATTTGGTTGGTATTTGCGGCACCTCAAGTAATCACCGCTCGTTCATCTTAACTCATCAGTGTTTTGTCAATTTACTTGAACGTATTGCTTAAGCTGGAACTTGCCACATGAGCACGTGCCTGTTCAGTAACTGATTACTGAATCTTGTGCAAGCCAGTTGCCTTTCAGTATTCCGATGACGTGTAGCGTTTCTAGAAACGGCAACACTGCAATGAAGGACGAAGGGAAGCCTATGAAAGACATCAGATCAGATTAAGATATCAAGTTATCGCGGAACCTCAGCACGCGCTGTCCAATAAACAGACAACTGATGAATTGGAAAGGCCTCACAGAGCTCAAAATTAGAATACATGCTCTTTCCATGTATATGACAATAGACCAGTGTGCCCTAGCCTTGTGTTCCCAAATCAGCACCTTCATTAAAAAGTAAAAACAAAAACAAACAAAAAACGGACTAACAAACAAAACAGGAGTTTGGAACATCTCACGTATTCCCCAGCCTTTTAGTCAAAATCAGTAGAATCAATATAAATGTTAAGCAAAATCTTAAAATATTTATGTAGCATATGAAACTGATATGGATACTTCGATGGACAAGCACACATCCTGTGTAAGACACATCACTAACGTCAGAGAAAAATCTTAGTATCGTAGTACATAAGCCGCAGAAGAAATCCTCTTCACAACTTTTCAAAATCTCATGGGCACTTACAATGAGCACCTGAGCTTTATGAAATGATTAAATTATAAAACCTGAAGCCTTTTCCCCGATAATCAACATAGAATCTCTTAAGATCAGATTTCTGTGTGTCAGTGAAATACTGCCTGAACAAAATTCATAAGGATCCGTCATTATGCTTGTGATCTGGTATTTAAGGCTTTGGTGTTATAAGTACCCCTGATGTATTCCTGGACAACAATACATTGGCAGCAACCTGTGGTTGAATCAACCAAATAGAATGGAACAGTTCGTGAGCTCCTTGTTGGTTATCATTTAGGTGTCTTCAACTGGACTCTCAATCACTCCAATTTTCTTGTTTCTCTACAGGTGATCACACTTAAATTCAAGAGAACTTCACTTTGAGGATAAAGATATTGGGAAGTAATATCAGTGACAGTTTCATCATCATCATCATCAGCATGGATACCTTATGTTTTCTGGTTCTGCCAGTGTGTCTGGAGTTAATCTTTGCACCCCTGGCTGGGGCGATAGGCGGGATGTTTGGAGATTCTTCAACGTCATTCAGCTACTCCTGGAGTACAGGTCAGTCACTTCTTTAATCATCTGGTTCTTCTCAGGTTTGATGGCAAAATGTAGGCCCACATTGCTCTGGATTATGGGAGCATTCTCTTCCCACTTTCACATCCCAAACTTAAGAACAAAATTGGTCCCCCGCACATTGGGTTTGTGAGCCCCGCAGTGCCAATTTTGTGGAGGTGCTGAACACACAACTTTGCTAAGCACAAGAAATATTTACTTTCAAGGTGAAAATTCCAGTTGAAACCAGTCCAACTGGAAATTGGTAACTGGTTTGAACTGGTTTAACTGGCTTTGAACTGGTTTTACCGGTTCAAACCCAGTTATACCAGTTCAAACCAGTTACACCAGTTCAAAACCAGTTACACCAGTTCAAAACCAGTTATAACAGTTCAAAACAAGCTAAACCAGTTCAAAGCCAGTCACCAATTTCCAGTTCAGCTGGTACCAGTTGAAACCAGTTGAGCCAGTTTCAACTGGAATTTTCACCTGGGTATAGCAAAAAAAATGAGTCGCCGGCTAAACTGTCTTGCAACGTCAATGCACTATGACTGGTTTCCAACAGAATCATGCTTAGAGCACAATTTGCTAAGCAGAATTTTCCGCTGAGCAGCTCCCTAAAATTGGGTTCCGCTCACAAGCTGGGTTATCTCCAGGTGACAGAGTAGGATTAGAATCAACTAGATTTGAAACCAGCTGGCATGCCATTTCACTTCCAGTCTCAAGACCGTTCCAGGTCAATCTTTATCAACTGGAAAACAGCACCGCGCAAATCCAGGGCTTAACCTGGATTTGGGAAAACTTGGGGTTAGTGAAACAAATGGGAAATGAACGCAGCTTTAGGGAACCCTTGGGTAATGGAAAACGAACACTGCAAGGAAATCTTCGGATCAAGGAGTATTAGAGTTAGTCTGTGGTTTTCACTCTTTGGTTAGTATTTCTTAACCGTAAACAGGAGTGCATTTTAAGGTAAAGTTCTAAGGTTTATATGTTGTTTTGTAATCCACAAAAATCCATTTCACACTTTAGTTTGATGAGAGGAGTATAAGTGTGGTTAACTGGTCTATTCATGTGTCTACTTATTATGCACAAAGAGTGTTCCAAAACAGTATCGTTCATGTCAGTTAGTTTGAACAGAATACAGAAGACATTTTGTAACCATTACAAAACATTACAAATGGTTGTTACAAGTATCAGTGATTTGTGATAGTAAAGTAGCTAAATAAATCATGGAACTATGTCCAAAACATAAAAAAGCATAAACTCATAAAAAAACCACCATAATGCGGAAAAGCCCTATGTTCTGTTCCTGGAACAGACATAGATCTAGTTTTCTTCTTATAATTGTTTGGTTTGGGTTTTGGGTTTATGTAAATGGAAGGTCAGGTTTCAGTCTGGCCCCTAGCCCTGCATTCTCCAACACTCCAGCCTCTATTATTTAATTGATATGATTAAAAAACATTGCCAGATACTAATGTACCTAATGTACCGCGCCGGCTAGCTAATGGATACCCCCTGGAGAACAGACGAGAGACAACATTACCGCCCAGTCCGAACCCAACAGTAAAAACAAAAAGATAAAAAGTACTGAGTACACCTGGTTGCGGACAGACAAGACGGATTTTAGGCAAAGGAGATGGAGCGTTCTGTTCCCGAGGACCTGCCAGGCATTCCTAATATTACCCAATTTACTGCTTGGGTTTCTCCCATCCTGAGGGAGTGGCGGAGCATGAAAACAACGTGTTTGGCGTATTGATGATAAAAGTCTGGCAGGAGATGGGGAGGGGGGGGTAGGAAAAGGCCTTGTGAATTTCTTCCTTCTCTTCTAATCAGTCTGGATTTCAATTAACGGGCATACTTGTATGCGTGGGGTTCTGTGATTGGTTGTCATTAGTGTAACCCAGTTGCTAATTATGCTACAGGATGTGTAATGTTCCTGTCGGCATTCAAGGGAGGCGGGGATCGGAGGGAGCCAGTGGTGGTTCCTGAAAACCACAATTCTCTCATCAGCAGAACCAGCAACTGAATAATTAGTTCAAAGCAGACCTGGCCGGCATTCATCATGTCCATTTGGGCTGCCAAACGTGCCAGAGATGCATCAGCTTTCGACACCGCAAAATAATGAAATTTGACAAGATTACGTCTGTTGACAAAAATAATTACGCAGCAACTCAAATTCCTCTCAACCGAGAAAAAAAAATGTGCTGACACTCACACAAACCAGACAAATTAAGACTTGCGTTAGACAGAGATTAGCTTGAACATTCACAAGCTTGGCTGCATATATCTATCACTGTTCGCGTCTCGCTGGCAGCTTGGCGCCAGATTATTTTTGTTACTGAGGATAGGCTGCAGGGAAAAGCTAGAGAACTTGTGAATACGAAAGTGTTAAGCACAAAGTGTGGCATGCATTCTTTAACGCCGCAGATCTTGAAGCAGCTGAAAGCTAGATGGTAATTTACTGAGGTCTCGCGGGCCTGTAGCCAGCCTGGTGTGGGGGGTTGTCCCTCTTTTTTTTTCACAAAAAATGTGTGCTTTTCTTAGTTAAAATGGATCTTCTTAGTGCATGATCAAAGCTACAATTGCTGGAAATCAAAACCTGCATACAAAGTGCTGATTTTTTACTATCAGCCACTGAAAGTAGTTGAAATGTTGTCTCTTTTTTACAATTATTACAGGGGTGTGAAATCTCAGCTTTAAATTTCAGCTTTTTTTGTTTTGGATTTACAGAAGTGCATGGTATTTCTTAAGTTCTGTTTTTTTACGCCTTTTTCAGGTGTTAGGTTTAGCTGTCAGGGACAGCTAAAAAGTAGACTCATGCAAATTTTGGGTTGGCATTTCAACTCTCACACCCCCCCCCCCCCCCATACAGGCTCTGTAGAACACACATTTCAGCGGCCAAACAGATGTTCCAACACTGCTCAACTAAAAGTTCACAAACTGAATCTTATTTAATTACCTGGTTAAAGTCAAAAAAGAAAGAAGAAAATAAAAAAGGTCTTCTTTTTCCTCACGTACAGTACATGTAAAAGTTCACCTGTTCTGTGGGGAGGAATTGATGCAAAAGGGCAGACTGTCCCATGTGCAATCAACAATTAGGAGGGAACAATGTGGAGACGTCAGGGTAGATTGTCTCAACCGTGCATCCATGTGACTCGGATCAAATGAAATTTCCACCCAATCAAGTAGATAGGAGTCGGGCCCATTGTGCACAGCAGAGCTTGCATTTGCCTGCGTCATACACTTTTTCACTCTTCACACAGCTTAACTCAGAGATTTCCTGATTCCCTGGGTTAAGCTCCCGTTAAAGCAGTGTCCTTACCAGGTTTATTTACCACTTGTTTCATTTACGGCACATTTTCCCCAAACTTAGGGTAAGCCTGCCCTGTATTGGTATAGTGCCATTTCACTCTTCGGTCTTTTCACACTATCGTCTCACCTACCCTTGATGAACTCAACATGGGTCCACCATGAGCTTAAAGGGGTCCTGTGATTTGTGCAACTTTCTATACTCCTCTTAAATGTATGAAAACTATTTGACATCCCTTTTTGGTTAATTTTATTGAAAAGTGCACTTCTTTAATTAAACATTAAAAATATTCCATGCTTTCCCGGACAACTGAGGGCACTGTTGCTGTGATATCATTCCAGGAAGACACTGTTTAGTTCAGAGGTTTTCTGTTCAAATTGAACCCAAAATTTGCTTATTGAAACTTTTTGTGAGAAGGGTTGCTCATTGGCTTTCTGCTATGTATATACTTTACACAACAACGATTCACCAAAGAAAAGAAAAATTACGACAGCAAAATGTCCAAAATTCTAGCAACTTTTGGTGCTGAAATAGCTGTAACATTGAAGCTTCTGCCCGGAATGACATCACAGTTCTGCTCATAAATATGGAAATTTGCCTTAACGTAAAAACCAAAAAGGCCTTTAAAATGGCAAAACGAAAATTGAAAATAAGGTTGGAACAGAAAGGTGCATATTCAAGGATTGCATTAAAAAATTACATTGCATGGCCCTTTAAACGGGTCCGATTGAACACGGGTTGCCAAAGCATTCTGTTCACACTTACACCGGTTTGTACACAGGTCAGGCATAGATTTCAGATTTGTCTACCCAGGTAGAACCTCTCAGCCCTGGTCCCAACCAGGGCTGAAGTTTACCTGTGTAGAGCTAGTGCTGGACCCATGAAGAAGCTGTAGATTCTTGCCGTTAGGGTGAAAGGGTTCCTGAAATCTCAGGGTTTTTCGCGGGTCCAACGTGGAGATTCTGGATAGTGTGAAAGAGCCTCCATAAACCTTGACCAGGCAAGGTGTTGGGACACGGTGTAAGATATCATGCCAGATAACTTGGTGTCACACCAGATAACTTGGTGTCACACTACAGCATCAGTGCTGAGGTTTTGTGATGAACCCCTTGACGATATCCCTGCTCATTGGAAGGGTTAATGAAGCCATGGGTAACATTTTATCCCAGAGTAGGAAAAGTGTTGTGTTAACACTCCCTTATGTTAAACCAGGGGCAACTCGGGTTTAAAACTTGTTTAAAGTCAAGATAAGGCCTGTTCTAAGCGTCCTGCCGCTGCTGTGACAAACTCAATTGAATTGAGCTCTGCAGTACGAATCTTGGCCTCGGCATATGTGATCTGGAGGTAATTCTGCAGGTTGTGGGTTCGAGCCCAGCCTGGGCTATGACAATTCTACGCCTAATGGGTAGAGGCATTATTAATGCCTTGCAGTGGACTAGTTACCCATCCCAACCCTATTCATATTGTGAAGAGATAAGATTATCTTGTCTTGTTTCAGTGTGAGGGGCTGGTTCTTCCACACCTTCCTCTGTAGCCCACACACCTCAAGTGGCCTTTGGCCTTGTGATGGGCGATTTGCATAAAAATAAAAATTTTAAAAACCCATTGCAGTTGCTCTAAATGCAAAGCTTATTAATTGAAATAAATACATCCAGAATTTCCTACCATTGTCTTTTATTAGTGTGAAAAGGGGCAG